TTCTGGAAGCACAAAGATTCAAAAATGAACTCCCCCCGCATACTTGCAGACTTTAATGACAATTTCTCCACAATCATTCATTTCAGTGTCAATAGTTGCGTGTCGCTTCACGAATGAGAGCTTTTATCGAGCAAACGTCGACACAGCTATAAGCTAAACCGCGTGATAAGTTAAAATTGTTTAATGTAATAACAGCCGTTAGTTATGATGAGGTTAACAGCCAAAGAGCATGCACGCATGTATTCATTGCATTGACGAGTTTTGAACAAGGTAAATAAAAGACGAAGGGGCATGCTTTTTGCTGCAAGTGCACGCGAACAACTGACAAAAGCACACACGGGGTGTCTCCTGGCTTAACACCGAGGAGGCTTTCGCGACCAATATGATCCATAAGAGGTGTTATGGGGTTTGATCGCGTAAATATAAATGTGTCGTTAAGCCCGCCACAGCCGATTAGTAAGGTTTGTGTGGATTTACTCTCCAACACACCGGTGTTGCTGTACTCGTAACGAATTGGCACGTTCTGTTTAAGTGACAAACCTCACTAATTGGCTGTGTCGGGTGGTGGCGGGTTTAACGACACATTTATATATAACCTCCCAAAAAACCTCTATGATGGGTCATGGAGTTTTACGAACCATTGGCTGCTGTTGTTCTGTATGTGCACCTCTTTCGTCACGTTGCCCCCCTCCCCCTCTCCCAACTTGAGTTTATTTCTGTCACGGACGATGCATTTGTGCAGCTGTACCTGCAACAATTAGCAGTCCGAAACCAGCACTCACGCAGAACCCTCCTGCCTGCCACCGTTGCATAATCACAGTTTCACCACACGCGCATGCCTCGCATTTCCATGTTTTAGTGCTTAGCTAGTTGGAGGCTCATCGTTTCTTCAATTACAAATCCCAAACACCCAGTCAAATGTATCAAATGCCCGAGGACATTGAAAATAAAACCGGTTATTCGTTTATATTCTGGCGTGACAATGCTCCAAGACCAAATTAAGCAATTGTTCAAGGTTAATTTTATTTACAAAAAACTACGACGTTTCGATCGCAACACAAGCGGTCGTCATCCGGTGAAGAGAAAAAGAGGGGTTAGCCTCTAAAGGCAAACTGTTTATAAAGGTTTCAAATAGGGCGTAGCCCAAGTGTCAGCAGCATGGGAGGAGGAGCTTATGTTAATGTGAGGGATGAAAAAATGGAAGGACACCGCATGTAGGATGGAGGTTATGTTAATGTGAGGGGTAAAACAAACTAGTGAGCAACGAACAGTGCTAAAATGGAAACATTACAGCCAGTTATGACTTAAACTGGTTTATAACGTCCTTCCAGTGATTGCTGAGTTTGTACCCATCCTCTCGGTTGAAATTGCGTCTTCATGAACGAATCGTTGATAGCCAGTGGGTTTGCAAAGTACCATTGTCTTAGAGAAATCAATTTCGTGTGAGCCAGCCGCATTAAAGTAATGATCAGCCACGGCTGAAGTGTTGGTCCTACCGTGTTTCAAATCTGCATTATGCTCACGATCACGGTCCGAGACATGTCGTTTGGTTTCCCCAATGTAACTGCTGCCGCAGATACAGCTTAGTTTGTAGACGCCGTGATATTGCATGTCAGGGATCTTGTCCTTCACAGAATGGATCAGATCACGAATTTTACACAGTACATACAATTCGTGATCTGATCTGCTGACACTTGGGCTACGCCCATTTAAAACCTTTATAAACAGTTTGCCTTTAGAGGCTAACCCCTATTTTTTCCTCCACCTGATGACCGCTTGTGTTGCGATCGAAACGTCATAGTTTTTGCCATTTTTTGGAACTTATCTACGTGACTTTACCGAAAGACCCAAAGAATATGAATTCCTGCGGTCACGAAAGCTTTAAGTCAAGATTTGTTCCAGGTTGTTTCGTGTTCAATTTGAGCGTGAAGACACCGGGGATTTCAATAATATATCGTCTCTACAATCCAAGGCTGCTGACGTGTCTATCCATTGCACAGTGCTGTAGGCTCTCGGGTTTCAACACCCGATGGAAGTCGAGTACATTAGTTCATTAGAAGTGGGCTATGCCTTGTAATTATTTAACAAGGGATCGTCTGATCAATTATATAAGTGGATGTGTTGGACAAAGGGCTAATCCGCTCATGCATACAGGTTGCAGGGAATTCAGAATAATATTTAATGCTGGAGGAATCCGATTAACTATAAAGCTCTTTTTCGCAGATGTTCAGTAGGGGCGGCTCAAAACGTTACAATGTTCTGGTGAGCATCACAGCTTTCACACAAATCATATTTACAACTTTATCAAAATCCTAGGCTCCATTCTCAAACACAAATGTCAAGAATAAACACAATGTAAAGTTATAACATTCAAGAAAATCCTTCATTACTTTGGTTGCCAGCATCAGTGGCAAGGTCAAGAGGCATACACATCTCCCCATTTTCCAACATGCCTTAGAATTCAACTCGGTCATCTGCGATTTCTTTTTCGTATGTATGTAGAACTTATTTCGCATCGTACGTAGCCAACCGTGCTAATCGGAGGTGCGGTGGAAGGACAACAAACTAAACACAAAAAGTAAAAAAAAAAGTTGTATAAATTTTGAAAGCATGGTTAAGCTTGTACATTTTGTACCTGTTGGCCAAAGTTAAACCCTCAAAACAGCTGCACTTATAGCAGGACAGACACATGCAGTGCTTCCATACTACAAGCTGCTGACAAGTATCGTATTAAGCTCCATCTGCCTAACAACTAAATTCAACATTTCTATCAATGCAAGGTTAATCTGTTTAAACAGCAGCAGCAATAATGAGATTGGTCATGTGGGTCACATTACCAATCACATTAGGGTTCGATTCCTCAACACAACCATTCTCTAGCTTCACCAACTGGAATTGGTGCTCTCCAATGCAGCCGCTTGACTTCTCTGGCTCGTAGTCCACCGTATAAAAGAAAATCTACTGCCGGCCACGTGCTCCGTAAATGGATGGCATGTACGGCTTTCTTGCTCCTCCACCTCCGTGTCCTTGCTCTCCCGATAAGAGGCGTGGGTCGTGAACGCATGCAGAAAAGTCACATCGTCTCCACGAGCCAGGGGGTTACCAAAATGATTAAACAAAACGCGAACGAAAGAAAACCTTCTGTTTTTCAAGTACTCCGCACAGTGACGACCGCTTGCGTTGCGATCGAAACGTCGTGATATTTTTTATTCACTTTATTTTAATTTTTATTTGAATTATTTTTTATATCTACGTGACTTTACCGAAAGAACCTTATAATATATATAGATTGGGTTGGAGTTTTAGGCACGAAATTAAATCACGAATGAAATACCACAGATGCCCTTCAATAGTAAAGTAGGGTGGTTATTTTTGTTGGAGCCTTATTGTTAAACGCATGAACAAAACACATTAAAGCAAATGATCGGTTTACTTAACTACCCACACTGACCAGCGTGGTGAAATACGGTCACACAAGCATAGCGAGGCCTTCATCTAGAACTGGCATTAACAAAGGGCCAATTGTATTTATATTTATATATTTTTTAGGTAATGGGTTGTCACTTGACCAATCGCATCTCAACCAGCCATGGGGTCTTGAACGATCACACGCGCCTCCGTTTGATCGTTACTGAAAACTACACCGGATTCAATGATTGATTCTGCGACTTTTCTGGAATCGACGATAAGATTGTGACGTTCCACTACAATAAACCATTCATGGACTGCTCCGCGATCCACTTCCACTAAACATTTTTCTTGCAAAGAGGGCGAGACCCTCAAACGAATGTGCACACGCAGTGAAGACAGAGCTAAGTAAACCCTGATGGTACGTTTAAAACTCTTGACCTGGTTACCAATGACTATCGAATACGTTGTGCATCAGAAACTTTCAATTCAAAACTGCTTTGACCAAGATAAATCCCATTGAGGTGTATTCCTACGAGGCAATTATCGCTCATCATCAGCCATTGTCAGTCCACTGCTGGATGAAGGCCTTCCCTCCCCAAGCCACTTCCCTTCCATCTCTCACGATCCTGCGATGTAAGGTATAGCCATGTAGGTGTTTTATATAGTCAATTATTTTAAACTGCAGCCAGTTCCAAAATGTAGTATTGGACCAACACGATGAGCTCAGTGTTTTCTGAAAATCCCAGCCGCTGGCTGATTTACTGTCAACTTCACATCAGACGGTGCGCTCTGAAATGGTAGAAACTGCGCTCACTGCACACAATGGGGAAAACCACCCACCACTTGGTAAGTATTCCTAGACGACAAATGGCAAGCGATGTTTGCTTGCTACTTGTATTAAGAACTTTTTGTAATCATGTTGAACTTCTATCGCACCGTACGTAGTCAATCGTGCCAATCGTAGGTGCTTTTGCCTATCACCCCCCACTGCAAAGCAACCGATTTACTAACCTTAACCAAACGCTAGCGGCAAAGTTCACAGAAAGAACCCCAGAACCTAAACCAGACCCTCCAGTCTATCACCATTGTGACAAATCACGCAATAATTGGAACTTACATAAAAGTTTTATTTTTAGAACACATTCTTTATATATTCTTGCACTGCAAAGATATAACTGATTTTGTAATGCAACTAAACGGCAATCTGCATGCGTGACGGCGCGTACCACAGCACGGATTCCTCAGCTTTGGGACTTTGCCCCGGTGTGGAGGGATGCCTGCTTAGCCTCACATAAAGGCATGTGCGGAACTCAGCAGGGCTGGACTGCACCGATGGTTCCGAATATAACAAAAGCAATAAATGTCACGTTCATTTAATTGCGCAAAATTAAAATTAATAGAGGCCCCCAACCGTAGTGTAATTACAATCACTACTGGTTTATATGGTATAGCACTATAGGGTTTTTGTTGTTGTTGTTGTGGTCTAAATGTCATATATTTGACATGCAACTTGTTTGCGATGCACGTTTTGGATGGTGCACTCATTATTTTAGGCTTCCCCGTGAGTTGCAGTGGCCTTACGTTTTGTAAAAAAAAAAGTGAGGCTATTTGTTCATTGTTAGTTTATTTTGTCGCCTATAAACTGGAGGGTTTGCTTCATGTTATTACTCTACAGAAGTGATACAAAAACTGAAAAAGGAGCAATACTAAAGGTTCACTTCTATTCCTTAAACAAAAACACAATGCACACTAATACTTGGCAGACTTTAAGGTTAATTGTTCATTTTTTTCTCTCTCTCCATTGTTCGATAAAGTTAATATTTACAACAAAAAAGGTAAATTTTTGCTTTGAACGTAGCAGATTCTGACGATTCTATGCGCAGACGTGCGTCTTCCCCTTGGTAAGCGCCCCTTGAACAAATGGCAGACATCGCATTGGACGTTCATCCATGACTGGCAACTCAGTAATTTTGACGTCTCAAAAATGCATTTCTATATTAATATCACAAACTCCAGGGATGAACGACTTGGCCACGCTATCTTAGGATGGAAGAGTCATAAATTGTTTAAACGAAAATAACTCGTTAATTAAAATATAATTAATTCCCCCCCCCCACCTCCCAATTCTCCTTCAGCAGGAAACCATTGCAAAAATTGTAATCGTACGTAATTGTTGTACGGTAATTCTCTTGTTTTCCATTTATAGCTGTATATGGACAGGCAGTCAGCATTATTGGACAATGAGACAACAATATTATACCATCCCAATATTAGGCTTATCAATGAGTCAGTTTTCAACTACCAATAATCGATGCGACATCACGACGAGGATCAGACAAAAATATATTCACTTTGGTTATTTTTTTTTAGACCAGATAGCATAAATGCAGAGAATGTTTTAACAGACGTGCTGCTTACCTCATATGTTTTTATTGTATTTAAATGTTTTTATTTTAGGAACACTTAAGGGTCAGCCATGCAAGAGGCAATTTCCAATCACATTTAAACTCCGGTCACCGAGCTAAACACTCCGTTGCATAATAATGCCTGGGAAATGGTTTACCTGCACCACAAGTCGAGACACGAACCCCTCTTTACTTTGCCTTGTTTTCTTTTTAAACCGTGACGATACATCGAGTTTTTACCCACCATGGTGGTGGGGGTGTGACACGAGGCTAAATCCAGAATCGGAAAGTCCGGTATTACCACGGCGATTAAAACAAGTACTGTCGAAAGGCAACAGTACTTGTACCATTCTGGAAAGAAAAAAAAAACAGTATAACTCATTTACCTACCCTTGCATTGATAACGGGGATAATACACGTAGACACGTTCTGTTGTCAAAAAAAAAGTTGCATCCTCACCGTCTCCTGGTCAGACTCAAAACAAGTAACTGTGCCTCGATGACTCTGCGTTATATATTACACGAAAAACCATAAACCCTTGACTTAAGGACACGCGAGACCTCTCAATAGGTCGCACTGGTCCAATATGCACATATCGCCATCCTTCAATGCATTTATGTGTTTTTTGTTTTTGTACATCACACAAATCTATTCCACTTTATCATAAACGGTCACTCCGGTTGAACAAATGCCATGTCCAGAGGTGCCAGGTTTGCATGCTTCCCAGAAGGGATGCAGAGGAGAAAAAAAAAAAACTGGAAATGCATAGACGCACGTGTACATTTAATTTCCCAAATTGTCTCACTCAATCAAGAGCAGAATTGTAGAAACCGTTCAGGTGTTTTTTTGTAACCAGCCGCAAGCCATTATTAGTGACCTGCTTTGTAATATAATGCCGTACAAAAACACTTGCGTTTGTATTGTATTACTCGATTAAAGCTGTGTGATTTGTTATCGCGTCAACGCCACGTGTGTCCTAGAATACACACACGCGCACACACACACACACTGGCTCTCAATGTGGCAAGTGCGTGAACATCTCGTATTTCTAACCAAGCAGCACATTCAACGTTGACCATTCAAAAGTGGCCAATATTATTCTGTTAATTAAAAAGGAAGCGTTGCCGCACACGTGATGGAAATTACAAATTCAGACGTACTTAAAAAACATTAAATGACTAGTACCCAGGATGTGCGCACTGGTGAGGACATTTTGTTATCGGTCAGCTCTGCGTTGAATATTATTGCAATTATTGAGAACCGACTTCTGTGTTTAAAAACAAGCTCATGGAAGAATGCACATGGAGAATACACCGAGAAGCAAACGTCTTGGTGTGATGTGCAAATGCAAAACTGATGTGCAACAATAGCTGCAACCAGGTCTGACCATTACGAGGGATAATGCGGGTGGACCATGAGAGTACACACAAGACCATCAGGAGTGGCATCAACAATTGGACGAACCACACAACTCTTGTTCCGAGGTGCTGTGATCCACGAAACCTGACCCTCTTTTTTTGTTTCAAACTCCGTTCACGTGGATATTTATTTACTTCTTACAACAGTAACTACAATTAAATAAATTAAACTCAAAATATGTTAAGCAGCTAAATCTTCAAATAAAATCAACTTAATAACATCGCCTCCCGTAAAGAAGAGGAGGGGGGGGAGGAGGGGGGGCTCAAAAACACTGTCTTCACTTTCCGTCGAGGAAATAGAAATGAGGGCAAGAAAGGGGGCAAAAGCATAAACGTTGACGAAGCACCGCCGTAGTCACCGCCGTAACCGCGCCGTGTCCTGCGCGATTATCATATCGTCGGCAAAGTGCATAGACATCACACACAGCCCATATGACAAACCACTGTGGGGACACGGCACCAACTTTGCAGATCCTGATCCTGGAGAGGAGTTTCATGGCGACTTCTGCTACCCCCCCCCCCCCCCTTTGTCCACTGCCACGTCCCCGAGTGGCGCCATTTCGCGTGCGGAAACCTCGCGGTGCCGTGACGTTCTGCCGGAAATTTCCCGCTTCGAGGCCCTGCATTGCATCGCTGGCCTAACAGTAACACATTCGGTTGGGTGGGGGGGCTATAACGACACATTTCGTCGCATGCGACGTCGGTCGGTAAAAACTCAGTAAGCGTCATCCCGTCATTGACACACGTTTCACGTTATGACTGACATTGTGTGTGACACATACTTAAAATCAGTGAGAGACTTCCAACGGCACGGCTCGGATTCTGCTGCTGTGAAAACAAAAAAAAACAATCTGGCGCCTCCTGACCTGCGACGGCCTGGCTTGGCCTAGCCCCGCTGTGGTTTGGATGTTCCAGTGGAAAAGGAATAGATGCATGAGTAGGTACCTGGAGGGGTAAGGGAGATATTTTGGTTTTACCCCCGCCAATTAAAAACGAGTTGTGTCACGCATTAGTGTGAGTAATGGAGCAGTGAGTAAAACATTGATGGCATGCAGAGTTTGAAGCTTCGATTTAAGAAGTCCTCTCATTCCACATTTTAGCTTGAGAGCAAATGAAAATCACATAATTTCCCAATATAGCCATTCAGCTTATCATTTACAAGAACATATCTTGGGTACCAAGGTTTATGACACGGATGGATTTCTGTCCATTCACCACAACAGATATGCGATTAGTTCCAGCCATGACATTGCGCTGCAACAGAAGCTGAAACTCGTTTCAGATGTATTTTAAAAAGTGGCCTCAAAAACGCGTCTCCTGAAACTGTTCAAAACTGCAGTTCAAGTAAAAGTGGCACCGTGTTCCCAGGGCTTCGATTTAATACGACATAAAAAAAACTTTCAGTGCTTAAACCATTAAAACATTCGCTAAACACACTCAAGTCTGCAATGCGTTTAGAGAAAATAGCTACAAAACAATTATGGAAGAAAAAAAATAAACACACGCAGAACCACCATCTCAATGTTGGTCTCGTTATGAAAATGGACAGTTTTTTTTGCCGTCGGTATTCAGCACCCATTTCCATGCTGCTAAATAGGATTAAAACAGTGAATTTTGTTGAAATTAAATAAAATTCCTTTCCAGCTCACAACTCAAGTTGGCCAGAAGAGTTCCAAAAAGTGGGCTGGTTTGGGAACAGCAGAACGATGAAAAGAAACCACGTCTATTGAAATAGTGTGGAGGTTTTTGTTCCTCCCATTTTTGGGATCCAAAGAGTTAAGGTGTGACCCACTAATACCGCAGACCAGAGATACAAACCAAACACATTGGTGCCACTAAGCCCATTTTCCCGCTAGGGGCTTTTGCACTTTTTGCTTCATTTGAATGTGTTTTTGGAACGTTTTTAAGCCAATTACATGTCATCGTTCTTAACACATCATACATTTTCATGAGGGTAGCAGCAGTTTGTTCCTTATCACGTAAGCCATCTGATCATCTGACACCGAGAAATGTGGATTTTCAAGCCAATCCATAGCTTAGTTGAAATGACTTGAATAAACACATCCTTGCTTACAGACTCCTGCAGCCATATCTTGCTGTGCAGATGAATTCAAATACTTCCTTACAGTAAAAGTGAGAGCACGTGCCTCCTAGAAAACATGTAAAGGTCTTGTGTCCCGATGTTTCGAGGCCTTATTACAAAGCTGCAGGCTTTGGCGGAGCACTCAAAAAGCTGTCCGTCTTAATCATTTTCGGCATCTTCATTTCTTCATGCCAATGCCCAAGAGGGACCTCTGATCAAACAATATGAACGGGTCGCAGAATAAGGAGCGCTGGGAGCAAGAAGACCATCGGCCGCATCGAAGGTGGTGAAAAGTAGGAGAGATGCGTGCAAGTTGCTGCTTGTCAGCAGTAGCGTCGTAAGGGGGGGGGGGGCAAACAAGAAAGCTCATATTTGTCGCGTTACATCCCCCTCGGTCGAGTCCTCAGACAGCATTCACGGCCCCAGGATCTTCATGTTGTCATCATGCAAGTGGTGAAAGCCCATCATTTTCAGGGGAGGAGGGGGTGCCCTTACGACAGTTAATAAAAGCTCTTGCAACTCATTGCTATACCTTAGCTTCTGATAAATGATGCCCGATCCGACAAAAGACCCCGCGCCGACCACCCCTTCTGATGCACGGAAGGGAAATAGGTGGAAACTTTATAAAGTTCTGCACAGAGAAACCCCCCCCCCCCCAACTCCCCCAAGAGATTGCAGTTTTGCACTGAAAACTGAAGCAATAAAAAAAATTGAAATAGAAATGATCCCACTTAAGATGCCACTGTTTGAAAGGGCGGTGGAGTAGGGCGTGGAGGGGGGGGGGCAGGTGGAGGGGATCAGGGTTGGGCGGCCGTGGCTGCTGGGACCGGTGCTCCGATGGGGTTCCCCGCTGGGGACAGCACAGGCGAGGCTGCCATGGGCCCCATCGGAGACGACACGGCTACCGACGTCATTCCTGCGCGCACACGAACAAGAGGCAAAGGAATCCACCATCTACCCATGTAGCCGTACAGATTTTGTGACAGGGCACAAGTGCTGTTATCAAGCACCTGTCAAGGCCACCGAAAAGCAACCAGGTGGTGACGTGGGCCAGCACCATGCCCGACCGCCTTTGTTTTCCCCAGTGCTCCCAGTAGTGCTTTTGTTTACGTATTGCACCACGCGCTCACTGAAGGTCGAATAGACATGTAAAGGCAAGCGACTTTCTAGGAATGTAAATTATTCGCCCACCGCTGCACATATTACCGATTGAGACTCGCTGTTTGTTTTGCTCGTTAAATAATTGCTTATTGTTCACAGGCTTTTCTCAACCCCCTGCTACTGCTGAATGAAGGCCTCCCCCTCGCCGTGCCTGTCACAGGGGTTGCTCGACTTCACCACGCTGGTCAGGGCGGGTTCGTGAAAGGGTGGCCCCGAAGGCCGTTTCAGATTATTACAAGTGAAGCTAGCCATGGCCTGAAATCAAACAAGCCACCAGGTTTGTAGAGCAATGCAATAATATGCCACAGCTCAAATATGCCTGACACGCAAGAACGCATAAACACACGCATATGACATCTACTGTATGCCACAAGATGGCAGTGGTTTCACTATTATGATTGTGCCAGGCTAGGTGCAAGTTAAGACCAATTGCAGTCAGTGAAATGTTGCTGGCAAAAATTGTGGGCCATAGCCAGGTAAGAAATAAAAAAAATGAACGAATTGTTTGTAGTAATTATTTCCTTGCATACATTTCCAATATGACATCTACGCACAACGCAAAACATTTCTAAGCTCCGAAACTCACTATGAAATTAACAGCAAGTATCGCCGACAACCATCACATCACATGCCCGTCAAATTTTATCTGAAGGCATAAAACTCACTGCAACATTAGAACAATAAAAGGAAGACCTCTCGACTCACCGGAGATCATGTTGGAACTGTTCACCGGTGCGGTGGAGTTGTTAGGAAGACTATTTGTGCCTATACGGCCTTGCTCCTTCACAATTGGGTCTAAACAACAAAACACAAAGACATTCAATTAAGTCTGAGTAATCACAACAGCTCTTTGTCTAAACCATGTTCTCCAGTCTTCACCACGGCAGTCACCGTGTGCCATTGATGAAGGATTCAGATACCGCACGCCACGAATGTCAGCCATGGCGGGGAATCGAACTCGGGTCGCTGAGTATTTAGCACACTGTGCCAACCACTGTACCGTCGCTCCACCCAGTTGGTATAGGTCAGGGGTCGGCAACCAAAATAACAAGAAGAGCCATTTCTTTCCAATTCGGTACAAAATTCAGTATTTCAAGAGCCGCAATGCATCTGAGTACATACTGTACATACGTACATATCGTCAAGAAGCAGCCCGTAAAGAGCCGCATGCGGCTCCTGGAGCCGTAGGTTGCCGACCCCTGGTATAGGTGGTATGCAAATTGCACTGTGTACAGAATTTCTTTGACAAACGTATGCCTTAAATACAGTTTTAGGATCTCTTACAGATGGCTTGCTCGTTGGGAAACTTTGAGCATCTTATATAATTTTACTTTTCACGACTCTTAAAGGATTTGACTATATAAAATATTAATTCGCTGCATTACTACGTGACGACACCTTGTAATGTGCCTTTTGATTGGCTGGGATTTAGGTCACATGACCTCCGCTGTGCAGCCCCAAATGTAACGTACTTGCGATATGTAGCTACATGCTGCCTCTGACGAGCTATTGTGACGTGAGTGAACGGCTGGATATGGGAGGCTGTACATTTGCTTCTCTCGTGTTAAATAAAACAAGAACTGAAGAACATATGCCACCACCTGTCATACAAGTTCCATTTACAGTGCCTAATTTTAATGGGGATGCAGTTGAGGGGACAAGCCGGCTCGTGGCCGAGGTAGCCAAGGGAGACAACGGTAAGGCAGAGTGTGACCGAAGACGTTTCAAAGGTATGCAGAGGAGAAAAGGAACCTCTCTAGCCTGAAATGGCTGTGGAGAAGCAGCGACCTCCTATTGAGCGGAGGTTAATTGGTGGTTGACGGAAAACGTTGATTGCTGGAGCAGACAGCATGTCAAAGGGAGTGGAGCAAGATGACACGGAGGGGGGGGGGGTGGCAAGAGGAAGGCCAGCTGTGTCCATGAATCATTGACACAGTAAGGGAGATCTTATAGTAAATCTAGATTTGGAGCTAGCGGAGGGGATCCAAGCAGCGGGGTGATGTGGTCTCATGTACGGGTGCAAGGTGTTGTGAGGTCTGCACTCCCTAGTGCACTGCCGAGCGCTTGGGCGCTGGAGGCCGCTCACAGAAGTAGGGGTGCTCCATGGCCTCGCGAGCCGTGAGCCGCGTCTGGTGGTCGTAGCGGAGCAACTTGTCCAGAAAGTCGAGCGCCTCGGGGCTCACCAGGTGCTGATTCTCGCTGTGCACGAACCGCTCCCAGCGCTTGCGCGAGTGCCTGCAGGTTCACGGCGTACACACACACACGCGCACGGACGCAAGCCAGCACAGAACCACGCATGGGGGGAAAACAAAGGAGATGCACAGCTGCACTTAGCGAACACACGCACACGCGTAAAAATGTATGTGCGCATATCCACATACATGCAGCCAGGTGCCAACTATGTGCATGGATGTATGGTATAAACATCCCCTGTATAGCCTTTAACAGACTATTGGGGAAAGAGCTTTTTGTGGGCAATTATTAAGGCCAGCATGGCGCAAAGAGGGGGTGGTGTGGCAAAAAACACCTGGTCGAAGTTTGTCCTTTTCAAGCGCTGTAGCTTAAAACACACCGCACCGGGTACTCACTGAAGGGCGAGTCGACATGTGCACGCATCCCGCTCACACATGCAGGTACGGTGTCTGATTACATTAAGCAATACACAAGCAATTACCAAGGATGGCAGAAATGTTTTGCGTTGTGCGTAGATGTCATATTGGAAATGTATGTCGTTGAAGGCAAATATGCTTGTAACCATAAATATGCACATAACACCCAAACATACGTGGGGGAAATGCATGCACGCACGATGGAGACGAGCACACGTGAACGAACACAAGATGGTTACGAAAGAGACCGAGACTGATCCTACAACCGAACTTCACCGCAATCATCTCTGCCAATAAGTCCGGTGATGATGACTAATTATTTCGACATCTTATTGAGATTTATATAGTGCCTTATCTCAAAGTGCAACAGAATAGATGCACTGCCTCATTGTTTAAAATGGATTCTTAAGTTCATGATCCATACATGGATTCACGAGCACAAGAACGACATTATTCGTGATTTCGAGAAACTGTATGTAAATATGGGCCTATGTATGTTGAACTTATTTCGCACTGTACGTAGCCAACCGTACTAATCAGAGGTGCTCATACTACATTCAGGCTAGGCAAAAAAGAAAACAGGAACCGAGCCAGTAAAAAATTAGGTGAAAAAAATCTAATCGCAACTCTGAATTGTCAGAAATCATTGCACCACTGCTTTGGAGGGTGGCAGGCGTGAATTTATGGATGCCGAAACAATCCACGTCGACTTTTGTCACAAATTCATCCCAGCTGTGTTGTCAGTCAAGGTGTCAAGAGGTTAAATTGCATCTATTAAAACTCACCACATTCAGCAAGTGCGTTATTACTACGTCCGATAGGGTCTATTTTCTCCGTACCAACAGATGGCAAGAAAGAAACTTGGTTTGAGGAGTTACAATAATAGTTTGAAGTATTTTGTTTTCGAATATTCTTTTTTTCTCACCAAATTATTGCATTTGCGCCATCGGTATTAAGTCATGTGATGAAGGGTCCATTTTAGACATCGTGCAGAGCAGTAGACTTTATGTTTTGTGGAGAATAGATGCGCAAGATATTCTTCATTGGAAATCTAAAATAATCGAGGTGGTACAATTATCTTTTTAAATCCTTTATATTAAGTTCACTTGCGCGCTTGCTTGCCTGCTTGCTTACGACCGTGCAAATCTTTCGGTCGTTTTTTAACCCACTTCCCGTGATCCAATCGAGCTGACATTTTGCACACAGACTCGTTGTGCGTGACAATTAATGTTCGTGACATTTTTTTTCAAAATTTTACACTGTTTAGGACAAAAATATTATATTTAATTACCAATTGCTTAATGGTGCCATGCAATCATCTGACCCATAGGTGGCAGCCATCTCAAGCCAGAGGACGAGAGGACTCTAGCCACCACACATATAAAGGATTTATAGTGAAAAACTTTGTTTTTACGGGTTAATTTTTACACAAAAAGCAAGGGGTTAAATTTCCTCACACACTCCGCTATGAGATCGTCGCATGATAGTCCAGTGGTTATTTCACAGTTGGGAGTTTCACCAAATGTAATAAACAAAAAATATTTTTTCGTGCAGTTTTTTGTGACCACACAGAGACCATGAACTCACTCCACCTGAGAAGCCAGTTTAATCAACAGGCAGCAACACAAATTTGAACCCAGAGTCTCAATGGCACCGGCCTCAGTGCTCTGACCTCTGAACGACCCCCCGGCGACCCAAGTATGTTTATTTATTTTCTTCTATACATTCTTTGAATGGTCAATTTTGACATTCATTCAATAAATTCAGAGCGGAAAATTAAAACTCATCATACAAAAAAGGTTTCAGCTCATGGCGTTGCCATGACAATGAGACGAAAGCAAAAAAATGTTATTAAACGAGCCCACAAAGGGAACATACAAAGAAACTATGGGGGAAGCCAAAGAAATTCAGGATGTTAAATCGTTCCGAGATTTTTACATAAATGAAAGGCGATTTCATCTTATGTTTACGTTTCATTTAAAAAAACACGAACTCCCACCCATTTCGGGTGTGTTAAAATGAGGAAAGGGAAAATTCAATTATTGAGCTCAACCTGACCCCTCCCGTGACCTTAAACAATGACATTCAAGATATCCAGCACCAAACTCTAGCAAAGGTCAGATGTTGTATTTAAAATGAACAACATGCCAAATATTCAAGAAACCCACACCGTGTAACCCACCTCAACCCCTCGGTACCAAACAATACGTAATAAACACACTGCACCTCTGCAGTAAATAAAAACTACAAGTAAGAGAAATCTATATTTATTTCATAATAATAATCTGTAACCTTTTGTCAATCCACGACTGAATGAAGAACTCCCCATGCTGTCTGCCACAGGGAATGCTGGACCATACTTCACCATGCTGGTCAGTGTGTTTTAGTGAAGGGCTCAGAACAAATTCAGATATCAATTGGCACAATCTGGCTGTCGCCTGATGCTAGTTGTAATGACTTGCGAAACGTCGTTCTCGAATTGTAAATGTTGTGGGTTTACTCTCCAACACACCGATGTGCTGTTATCGGAACAAATTGGCATGTTTTGTTCACGTGACAAACATTACTCATTGGCTATCGGGTGGTAGTGGGTTTAATGACACATTTATATGTACGCGATCCAACCCAAAAACCTTTATTATGGATATAAATTGCCACATATTAGATTTGACCAGGACATTAACTAATATTGCAGTGCGCAAACTAGGGCATCTCCATGAACCGTCAAACACAGCGAGTTGGAAACGGGTGCTCCACTCCAGATATGACAGATTTTCAACTTTAGCAAAATTTGTGCTTTGCATTGTAGTATTAACTGTTCAGAGCTAAAGAAGGCTTTGGTGTGCAAAAAAACAAGCGTTTTCGATGCCTGCTTAAGCAAAATATTATGAGAATCCTCTATTCACAAAGCTAAAACGGCTTAAATTAGTGTGGTGCCAATGTCTTTGGCGATCTGAACAAACCATGTGGGAAAGAGGTACAAGTGTGGACAGTGCCTCATTGACGATGAAAAATCCACATCGACGACTTAAACAAAGATAAACATCAACGAATCAACAGATCATTGCAGCTCTAACAGTCAGCACATGTAAACATAAGAGGGTGTTTCAAGAAGTAAAAACAATTATATTAACTCTGTGATTTTTGTAAACACTGATTGGTGGGACAGGACATAAGACTGGGTACTTAAGCACAACAATTATTATCTGCATATTTTTACACTGGAATGCTGTGGTGAGATGTTAACGACCTGACCTAGTATACAGGAGGTCGTGGGTTCGATCCCGACCCTGACACCTGCTGTATATTTGGAGTTTGCGGTGTCTCTCTCATCATCATCACGGTGGCTCTCTCATGATCATCACAGTGGCTAGGAGATGTTGACCACCTCGTCTGGTATACAGGAGGAAGTGGGTTCGATCCAGACCCTGGGTCCTCTGGTTTTTCCCTCCACATTTAGAAACAACACGCGTTTAGAGTATTTGGCTTCTATACATTTACACACGATAGGTCACTTCGTAGTACTATCATTTGTGGCCAGGTCGCTTCTGAAAAAGAGCTATATAGCTCAGTGGGCCTTACCTGGTAAAATTAAAAATAGTTCAGTATATCAAGTGACAAAATCCGGCAGGACTCTTCGACAAATACACATTCCAGTGAGACGTTTCCTTTTGTTCCCTAAGGACGAGTGGAATTTACAGAAGAATGCCGTGAAAGTATTTAGACAATTCTATGAATCGTGGAAATGTTTACAATTGGGTGGAACGGCTGCATCCAGGGAGTGACTATGCTGACAATGGCAATATAAGTATTAGGCCAGTTAACACTTCAACTCAAGCGAATGTCATTCATGTTGAGACAATTCATTTGGATGAGAGGTGAGTAGCAATCATGAAAGTTCTCCAGTGCAGAAAAAAATCAAGATCTAACCTGCCAGCAGAAAGGAAATTAAGAATCTACCACTAGGCTTTGTGCATAATATGCACAAGAATGGTGATGTCCTCATGGCATGCAACGCATGCTGGGACTCCTGTTTTGGTTTTTGAAGACTCACTTTGCACACATTATCATCACTGTCCAAATAATCGCATTCATCCCACCGTTCACCTCCTAAACGATTTAAAAAATCTCCACGTGGTGGATACCCTGTTAACACCCCAGTGAGACTATCGGGCAACCATTGCTAATCTCATTGTTAACTTTCGTCTCTTTTCTTATTGAAACACCTTCCAAACACCAATGACAAACGTACGAGAACACAACAAAAAAGACAAAACGATCACGCACGCGCACACGCGCACACACACACACACACCCTCGCTCACACACATGAGTACAATCAATGAGCCGTATCGCTGAAGCCCTGCTCACTTCCCACTGCAGGCCGGGACTACAAGAGGCTGCGGTTTTGGAGGCCCACACCTGCCGAGGATGTCGTTGAACCGCGGGTCGAGCTCTATGTTGTACTTGTCAATGTAATCGTACAGGTCTTCCGTCCCCAGTACTTTGGCAATCCGCACCAGCTGCACGCATCGAACAGAACGGGTCCTTTCCACATCACCGGCGGTCATCACACTTACAGAGACCGACCGCAGGACATGCTTTGTTTTCCAATCCTCTCCTCGTGCTTGGCTTATATCTGTGTGTGTGAAGTCTGAGTGTTCTACTCCTGTATGTAGTTTTTTTTTTAAATGGGTAATAAAGTTTTCTCCCTTACACAAGGATACTTACCTTCCTGTAAGATTTTAAAAATGTATTTGTATTACATCACTGTTTTTAAAGTTGATATTTGCTTTTGACTTTTTGGACCTCAAACTGTTGGAATACTGGCGCATAATAACTTTTATTATTATGGAACCTTCTTTTATAACAAATCGACTGCAATATGCCTGATCTCATCAGTTCTCGCTAAGTAGGGATGTGCCTGGATAGTGCTTGGATGGGCAAACCACCACGCACAAAACAGGTTGTTATAGGCTGCTACGACGCTACGTCGTCAGTAGAGGGTAGTGCAGAAAAAACAATGTTGTACTGTACTATGCCCCAACGTCTATGTTCCCCACCTTCACGCTGGCCATGCTGGCTAGCGTGTTTAATGTTCAAATAACCCCCTTGTTTGACATGGCATGGAGAGGCCCTCATCCAGCGCTTAATGAAAGAAAAAATACAACAGGCTATACATGGTGTGATTACAGAAGAGCTGTAAGTCACATTAACCACATGGAAACACCAGGATGAGGGAGGGTCAGATATGGTAAAAAACTGAAGTATCTATGTGTACAACCCACGACAACGATAATTAACATTTTAGTAATTAAGTTGTATGTGTGTCTATTTTAAACATGGTACAGAACGCTTGTAAATAACATAAAAAAGCTTTTAGCATGGAATTTTTTCAAATGATGGTACGCTTTGACAGTCTTAAATAAATTACAGTGCAGCTGCCAGAATCAAACTTATTCAGCTCCCTATAAGCAAGACTCGTACTTTACAATATCTCATTAGGAGGACCAATGTTTACGAGCACCATTTGCTTAAACTTGCAAACTCTCAGCTGGTTTTACCTCCTCAGCTTGATCAGCAAAGGCAGGAATAATATAACATTTTTACATGGACATATGTAAAAGGAAGATAATTTATTTAGTACGTTAAGAGCTCTATTCAATATACCGATGTCATCTTGTCAGGAACCCATTGTAAATTAGATATTAATCTCCAGGGCCAATGTTGATTAAATATTCATAAATAAATACAACTACAAAGGAAAACTAAATGTATCTGTTCTTTTTCCTCCAATTGTAGATGCTTTATATTTAGCAAGTAAAAAAAAAGTTTAACTGGTATGTCAAGTTACTGTGCATCACAGCTAGACATACTAGACTGCACTAAATCACACCACTCTGAACTACAGCACACAATCTTAAACTAATCGACACTAGAAGTAGCCATATAACTCTAGACTGCACGCTGCAAGCACACCACACGGGACTACACCACAGTAGGCCACAATAGGCTAAATACACGCCACTACATGGCCATCACCTGGTCATAGTTGTCATGTCCATGGAAGAAAGGTTCCTTGCGGAAGATCATGGAAGCCAGCATGCAGCCAAGACTCCACAGGTCGAGGCTGTAGTCGTACATCTGCATGGCGACAACATGGCAATCACTGCACAATCCAGACACACAGCGCGCAGGCCGCACCAACGTAGGGCATGCCTAGAATTGTGTGGCTGTTTAATAATAATAATAATTTAAACTTATAAAGTGCCTTTCACTTGGAGGTGACGAGGTACCGTACAACACACACACACACACATGAAGGCTTACACCGAACAAGTAAGTGATTTCACTCCCTAACCTGAACACTGCTTTTTATGACAAAATAGGGTCAAAATTCTTCACAAGTTGATTTATGTGGCCGGCCACATAGCTTTAAAATCAGTGTAAATGGATCGCAGAATTCAGGGTGTCTGGTGTTGGCCAAGAATTCATATGCGGTATCCTCAAAACTGTCTTCAGCCCAAGTGAGGCTTTCCTGGATCAATAAAATAGTTTTCACTACAAGCTTTCACACCACTTAGCCTCATTGGCCGGCACAGCCGTTCAACGAAACGACGGGTCACGACACCGTTTAACGAAACGTGTATCCCTAAAACGAATATTCCACGATTGCATTTGTCTGCAATGCACACCAGCGGAGCTTCAAAAACTAAAATTCAGCAGAACCAAAGGATAGAACGATCAATGTGGTTTAAATTAAAAGATACGGTCACTTAATAAGATGCCATACAGTAATAGGTTTCTACCCTTTCAACTGGTACAAAAACTGACACCTTTATACAAGGCATCATGTTTGCAATAACCACAACACAAGCAGTCAAAATGCAAACAAAAAGAAACAACTCTGATGATGATATGCACTATCCTTGAAGTTGATTGGTCCACACCCGAGACAGCTCATAGTGTAAATGCTTACCCCGAGCTCTCAATACTCTGATAGTGCGCTGTCTTTGAGTTGTACGCCTTTTGGCGTCATCTGGTCCAACACGAATGGAGACTAGGCTCTAAGAAAAGCTGTCTCGTGTGTGGACCAATCAACTTCAAGGACAGTGCATATCATTATCATCATCAGAGTTGTTTCTTTTTGTTTGCATTTTGACTAGTTGTGTTGTGGTTATTGCAAACATGATCCCTTGTATAAAGGTGTAAATTTTTGTACCAGTTGAAAGGGTAAAAACCTATTACTATATTTTTCCACTGGTAAAGGAGGTCTCATAGTGTAAGATGCCATACGTTCAACCGTCAAACCGTGCAAGCGTGGAGCACTCCACCTGATAGTCGACGAGCAGCTCGGGGCCCTTGAAGTAGCGAGAGGCGACGCGCACGTTGTACTCCTGCCCCGGATGGTAGAACTCAGCCAGGCCCCAGTCTATGAGCCGCAGCTGTCGGTCGGTGCAATCAGAGAAAGCATGACTGGTGAATTATTGCGCATTTCTAATTTACCCCCCCCCCCCCCCCGCGGCAGCATAACAAAAGGCTGATCTTCTTGATTCTTTCGGTAAAGTCACGTAGAAGGGAAGTAATAAAATAATAAAAATAAAACATAAAATAATTCTCACGACGTTTCGGCCACAACGCAAGCAGCCGTCTTCAGGTGGAGAACAGGTCTGTCGAGAAGGCAGAGTCTGAATGGCACGCCCCAGGCTTGGAGAGACTATTTATGCTGGGATGGAGGGGGGGAGAGCGCCTTGACAAAATAATTTGCATATCTTATCTTCTTCCGCCCCCTGCATCACAAAGCTTCAGTTTGAACTCCATGCGTTGCCTCCCAGCGCCCCCCCCCCCGTGCCTAACTACGTTGCCTCTTCGGTCCACAGCCCGCCCACACACTCACCATGGCCCCTCCCCTCCCTCCATCCCCCGCGACTATATAATTCCTCGTCACAGCCATCTCTTAGACACACTTAAGTGGTTGTGCTTTCGCTACGTTGTCCCCACCTGAAGGACGCTTGTGTTGCGCTTGAAACGTCGTGATTTAATGTAGTTGTTTTCATTTTTAAAATTTTATTTTTTACCTACATGACTTTACCGAAAACACCAAAGAGTATGAATCCTTGCAGTCACGAAAGCTTCAAATCTAGAATTATGGTGAATTATTGGCCAGCACCAACTGCTGATCCGGAGTTCAATCCCATGGAAAATAAGTATAACCCGTAAAAACAACGTTTTCACTATATATCCTTTATATGCGTGGCAGCGAACTTAATATAAAGGATTTAAAAATATATTCGCCTGTGGTGGACGCGGGGATCGATCCCACGACCTTTGGCATGGGAAGCGAGGGCGCTACCAACTGCGCTACTCCGCCACGGCCTGTGGAGGGGTTACGCTCTGGGCTCTTACACTGTGACGTTCAGCCAAAGCCAAGAATGAGTTATATTTGAATATATGTAAAAGAATTTTTTTTTGCCTAAAAAGTGTAAAATTTGGGGAATTTTTTTTCACGAACATTAATTGTCTGGCACAACGAGTCTGTGTGGAAAATGTCAGCTCGATTGGATCACGGGAAGTGGGTTAAAAAACGACCGAAAGATTTGCACGGTCCTAAGCAAGCAAGCAAGCACGCAAACTTAATATAAAGGATTTAAAAAACACCACTCTCACTGTCAAAAAGGCAATCATCATCACCACTTAACATTCATATTCCACCTGCCACCCAGCACATCTCAAAGTAGGGCACCCCCGGTGGCAGCTATCACTGTGAGGCAGGCCAACGCAGCACTGTCCATAAATTGGGCATTTGTCTACGGGTAGTAGTTTACGAGTAATTGATCTAATTTGGCATAATTGGTCTATGACTTCGGCACCCTTTTGCCTAATCTTTTTTTAAATAATGCCATGGGATCTTCATCGTTGACTGTTGAGTAGGTGGCGTGTACCTACTTTGTATCATGAATATAATCACGATATTAACCAGGATGGGTGCTGGGCTTGCACCGAGAACCTCTGCAACAGGTGGCTAAGACGCTACCGCTGGACAATGTCACCGCCCATGAATATAGCTCCATTTGGTTTCTTACAGCATAAACAAATAGAGTGGAATCTTCCATAATACAATGGTTTTCCAATGTTATCTTGTAAGCTTACAATGAATCATCACGTCCACAACAAAGAAATTTCACAATTCAGGGTCAGAAATTAAATCCCACAATCGATTCTACTTTGTGCTTGTGGTGCATGTGGAATCCATACAAACTATAGGGTTTTAACAACCCCGTAGGGTGTTTATGAATCAATAATATATAAATATATGATGTTGAAATAATTCATGTTCACACACACAATTTCATACATATATTTATAACATAAGAATTGATTTTAATTGATGAATCATTCCATTACTCAGAACAGAGTACTTTCCCAAAAGCCACTATTTCCTCAGTCAATTTCACACAACTGCCAAGTCATACCTACAGCGCATGCATCACCACCAACATCATCATAATAAACGTCCACTGTTTATCCACTGCTGCATTAAGACTTCCCCACAATGTCACTTACGGTCCTGTGATACCATAATAACCATCATTCATAGTGACTCACACCTGCCTGCCAGGCACTACATAGGTTTCGAGGGTTTTTGACATTGAAACCCCACACACGGGAAACAGCAAAACCCAACATCACAAAAAGCATCAACAAACAGTCAATACATAACTGAAAGATCTTTCATCAAAGACAGATGTAACAGGTTTGTCATTTAAAGGCAAGTCTGAATTGTGACACCATTCAGACAGAAACCAAACGTTCTGGAAATGAATTACACAGTTGAGAAAAATGCTCAAAAACTCTATCGTCATCAGCCATGGTGGTCACTCCGTTGCTGGAACTCCGACCACCCCCAAAGCTGCCCGACACCGCTCATAATCCTGCGATGCAACAATCCATCTATCACCTGCACACAAACCGATTTAATTGCTCCATCTCCTCGGTTATCGTACATTCTTCAACTTCTACAATGAGGCTACAAAGGGGTGAGTTTTTCTATTTTTCTGGAGTATAAATATTAAATGAATCCGTCAAGACAGCCAGGCATCATGTTATTAAGGCCCTTATCGGTAAACAAATTCACGTCTCTTACAGATAGGAAGCCAATGCAAATCCTTCAGAAGTGGCTTGGAGACATTATCCTGTTATTTGCATTAAAAAGTTGAGATTCTGAGTTTTTAAGTTGGAACGCAGACAAACCAGTGTCGAGTGCATTACTGCTATCGATTAGTGATAATACCAAACTATGAATAAGATAGTTGAGAGAAAAGTCCTTGGTTTAATTCCCGACTGGGGTGACTTTCTGCGTGGAATTTTTAATTACTTCCCCTGGTCTGCATGGGTTTCCTCTGGGTTCTTCGGTTTCCTCCCATAGCTAAAAACAAAAATGTAATTTAACTGGAAATGGGCAAACATCCCAGTGATGAAACATTACCTGCAAATTGCTCAATTAGGATTACATATAACAACATCGTCCCCTACTGGGAAAACTTGTCGACACCCTCCTGGATATTCTTGAGACTCAGCGAGGCTTTCCTGGGTAAATGTTCGGAACAAACAATTAAGCGTGACGTTACGTTTTTTAAATCCTTTATATTAAGTTCAATTGCTTGCTTGCGCGCTTACGACCGTGCAAATCTTTCGGTCGTGTTTTAACCCACTTCCCGTGATCCAATCGAGCTGACATTTTGCACACAGACTCGTTGTGCGTGACAATTTATTTTCGTGAAATTTTCCCAAAATTTTACACTTTTTAGGAAAAAATAAATAATATTTAATTACCAATTGCTTAATGGTGGTAGGCAATCATCTGACCCATAGGTGGTAGCCATCTCAAGCCAGAGGACGAGAGGACTCTAGCCGCCACGCATATAAAGGATTTATAGTGAAAAACTTTTTTTTACGGGTTAATTTTTTTATATTTATAGAGGTTCAACTGAATTTGCAGTGTGTTCTTGAAAACACGTCCACCTTTGCACCAAGTTCCACCAATCGAACTGTAAAGACTTTGCAAATACACTAATGTGCTGCTGACCACTTGGGATAGCCATTCACCTTAAAGTTATGCACTCCGAACAAAAATTATATGAAAGCACAATATAATACGACACGCTGAATATTTAAAAGCTGCAGCGGGGTTGACTCGTCTCGCACGGCCCACCCAGTTGGAATGGTTACCTTTCTGTTCTCGTGGTCGATCATGACGTTGTGTGGTTTTACATCTCTGTGCATGATGCCCATGCTGTGGCAGTAATCCAGGGCCTATGGGAGTGACAAAGTGATACACAGGAAATTCCATACGTGTGCGTGCAAGTCGTCTTCATGAAAACTTTCTTCACATCCTATCAAATGCCAAGTCCATGCATCTCTCTCCAAAACATCCCATCAGGAATAGCAGTCGGTCAAAGGTATAGATATGTCCTAGAAGACATCTTAGCTAATTCTGACATCACTTTAACACGATTATCTTTTTGAACATCATAAGCACACCTTGTACATGCCATGCAATACAATTTGAGCTTGTAAAGCATATCAATGTGACTGCATTTCAACATACTGTATGAAAACGGTGATCTTTGCATTTCACAAGTTAGTAAACCACGTGTTTTACCCATGATTGGTGTGGTGGGTTTGCGTTTTCACACTCTCACATGCTAAAATGTCTGAACGCCACCTAACTAATGTGCCTTCATACACCGTTAATGTGAAAAGTACAACATATATGGAAGTGTTAAGGACTAGAAAAAAAAATCTCAGGCCTATTTAAAGCTTCATTGAATTACTCAGCTGTGTTTGTCCATGCAACCTTTAAGTCATTCAAGGTTGAAATGAGCAATGAAATATTTGTAATATTTTCATTATGAATGACATCTAAGGCCATGGAACAATAGATATACATCAGTAGCTAGAGGAGTATGTTACTGCTATGTGCACTTGTTATGTTGGAGTCCTAAGCGGCCCTTTGAATCATTTGTAAATAGTTGACAAATGCATGACTGACTGCTTGCTATCATGCAACAAGATTGATCACATTCCTTAACAGATTGAAAATGCAATAGTTTGTTTAAACCACACAGCGCACTCTTCCGTAATGGGTTGTCTATTCTTGCCCTTGCAGATTACGATGGCCATTCAAAGCTTACAGATGAATATTAAAACAGTCTCACAAGATGTACGGTTTTAGAGTAACCTAAATATTATTATAATTGTATAGTTTAGAAGTTTTACTGGAGAATAATAACTTGTGTACAGGGACCTTGGTTGGAGAAACATGCCTCTACAGAAGTAAAGTTGATTGATTGATGTGTTTGATACTTTTATGCTGTGTACCAAGAAAGCATGCAAAAACATGGCCACAACTGCAGAGTGGGTAGGACTAAATGTGTTCAGAACTCACTATTAAAAGTACATACATTTTTTTTAAGTCCGATTAAACAATAAGAATATCTAATTTTAAACTCTGAATTTTCGTTTTCTATTAATAGTATGGTACTATGGTCTATAACAGTTGATTCCCACTTGAAATTAATGAGAACCATTAAATTTTAATGCACAACATAATTGCCTAATGTGTGCAATTAAGACACATGAATAAATAAACGTGTCCTGTTTGACCTAGTAATGCAAATATTGATTGAATCCCAAATATCCATTATTGCATAAGGATACTGTGCAACGTATTATTTTGTTGGTCTTTATTAAGAGTTAAATGGCAATCGTAAAAAAAACACAACCTTGTAACTCACCCGTAAGATTTCGTACATGTAGAACCGAATGTCGTAGTCTGTGAGGGTTTGGTAGAGTTGCTGTCACAGGAGTAAAATACAAGCACAAAGGGACCATTTATATTGTTGTGAAATAAAAAAAACGTACATGAAGATGCAAAAAAAGAGCACTTTTTATCAGTTCCCAAATATTGTTAAGTTGATGGTATATTTATTTTAAGAATATATAAACATACTCTTTGGTTCTTTTGGTAAAGTCACGTAGGTATAAAATAAAATAGATCACGACGTTTCGGGCGCAACACAAGCGTCCGTCATCAGGTGGGAAAGCATGACGGACGTTTGTGTTGCACCCGAAACGTCGTGATCTATGTTATTTTATACCTACGTGACTTTACCGAAAGAACCAAAGAGTATGGATTCCTGCAGTCAAGAAAGCTTCAAATCAATATAAAAATAGCCCAGTGCTTGCACGATTTGTGTGACGAATTAACAAAGCTAACTAGATGCTGTGAAGCAGATATTTAAAGACCCACTGACAATTTGAAAATGTAGGCCACTATGTGGCCTGGTACAGTTTTGGAACATTCTGCAACATTTACCCTCATTTTTTTACGGTGTCTTTACCGAAAAAACCTAAGAGCATGAATCCTTGCAGTCACGAAAGCTTCAAATCTAGAACTAAGAGTATTGCCCACATTTATTCCATATTGTAGCACTCACTGCCCTTGCTGGGATTGCATGCCGCCGAAGTGATGAAACATCTTAATAGAGCTATCCAGCAGTAGGAGAATGTTTGAAAGTACTCTATATTAAACCTCCACATCCTTTGGACATGATTGTCTGTCCATCAGTCCCTCCCCTCCCTCCGTCCTGTCAGACAGTAAAACTTTTACCAGGTAAGGCCCATTGAGCTATAGAGCTCTGTTTCAGAAGTGACCTGGCCACAAATGATAGCTCAACGAAGTGGCTTATTATGTAGAAATTTATAGCAGCCAAATACTCTTAAGAGCATGTTTTTAAATGTGGCAGGAAAAACCAGAGGGCCTGGAGAAAAATCCATGCAACCACGGGGAGAGAGACAGAGAGCACCGAACATGCAGACTCCAAATATACAGGCGTCAGGGTCGGGATCGAACCCACGACCTTCTGTATACCAGACTAGGTAGTTAACATCTCACCACTGCTCCAACCAGACATTTAAACATCATAACTTAATTATACTGAACTATTCTGGTTAAGCTCCAGCCAAATACTAATGTATGTGTACTCATCCACAGAACAGAATGTGCTAGCACTTCAAATCCAGTTAAATAGCACATATTAATTAACACATGACAGTTAACACATTTTATATTTGCATGTATATATACACACGGAGAGATATTGAAAGTGCATCATCTTCCGACCCCCTCCCCTGCCCCACGCTCCACTTATAGATAGCAATGATTAATTACTTAAGGAACGAGTTGTTAACCGTGCGTCACCCACCTTGAAGTCTGTGTTGTTAACATGTTCAAAGACGAGTGCAGGAGTTCTCGACTGCAGAAAGAGAAAAACAAATGTCAAGGATATAAACACACCATAATCATAGGCTATTACAGTGGTCCTCAACATTTTTGTGAATGAAGTCCCCTGACCAAGGTTAAATTAAAATCAAACAAGCTGATGCATTAGTGTTGTAACGCGCCGACGAGAATCACAAAACAATTTTCTTAAGTCGCAAGGGCAAGGAGATGTGTTGTTGCTATTACGTGGATTGCAATTCAAGACCAAATCAAGGACAGAACATCCACCAGAAATGGCAATAATAAAGTTGGCATTTCTATCAAATCCACACTACACATCCATTTATATGTGCTTCGCCATAAATGGCCAATTTGACATTCTTAGCTCAGTGTCACGTCCCCATGACACTGAGCTAAGAAATAATGCCTCAAATATCATGTGAGGCAGTGACAGATTCACACTGGAAGGTGGGAGCGGAGCCCTATGCATGTCACCATCATCAGTGATGTCTACATGCTGACCTCAAGACTACAAGGAGGAAAAGGTAGATGATGTTTACAACCGCCTAGAGGAAGCGATAGAGGGAAAAAAAGGGAATCCACATTCATATCCAGGTCTCCCATTCCATTACTTCCAAATATCACAATTGCCAAATGCTTCATGTGCCTCCATATCTTGCAAGCTCCATGTTCATGTCTCGATCACATCATGCCCCATGTCTTGTCCGCCCCATATCGATCTCTCGCCATGCCCTGTGTCTCACTCGCCCCCCTTGCTTCCATGGCACTGTGCCCCCGTCTCACCATCCCCATGCCCCATCAGCTGCCTCCCTTTCTGTCCTGTATGCTGTCGAGCTTGGGTGCTAAATAATTAATAATCAACTCTTTGATAGCAAAAAAAATGGGGCATCTTGGCACCATTACCATAAGCCCCCCCCCCCCCCCCCGGCTTTAGTGTTCCTGAGATTCTAAATGTAAATCCCAACGTAAAAACAGGTGCTCTCGGCAGCCTCAACCTCCTCATCAATAACTGCCCTCAATTGTTCATTCTGTCTCATTTCTTTAGAACTGCTTTTATGTCTTTAGTATGTTGGCCCTTCCTCCGCACCTCCGATTAGCACGGTTGGCTATGTACCTACGAAAGTAGTTCAACGTACATAAGTACGCGCATGCAGCTCCGTAACGAAGACTAAACTCGCAGCACAACGCAGTGGAGGGCGTGTGGCACGCGTGTGGCACGCGTGTGCGCTTCCATCCACGCAGCGCATACGCGTGCCCCGTGGCCAGAGTGGCGCAGGTGAAGCTCGCACTTCCACATGCCCCCCCGCCCTGCACTATGCGCCGCGAGCAACGCGATAGCCATGCAGCAATGTTTTCTACGGAAATCAGAACAAATTCACCCCATCGACTCCTATAAACTGCAAAATGTAAATAAGATCCTTTTCTGCAATGAACTAGAGGGGTGGAGGGGTGAAGGACTTTTAGCCTGTTCCACCAACTAGTATGTTTAGTATGTATAGAAAAAAAGCTTCCTGAACATGCAGAATGGAGGGCATTATTTATTTGTGTTGTTCTTTCCAAAACAATTTTCTTACGTGACAGTGTTTAGAGTGTTTACGTGATGGATATGGAGTTTTTCTTTGAGGCTAGACACCACTAACTCAATTGGGATATAATTCGTGATAAAATATCCCCTACCCCACCAAACACATACAAACGGTAGCCTATAATGTACCTAAACAAGAAAGAAAAATCGTGCACACTTGTTGATTCTGTACCGCTTACAAATATGGGGTTTTACCGTAAGTATGTCATGAACGTGTGACATCATTGCATTGGCCAAAAAGGCTTACTCGCTCTAGATGGATTTTTCAAGTTTAGTGAAATCCTTTGAGACCATTTTGCCCAGTTTTCTCTCGGGTAATTCAATAACAGCAACAAAACTTTCTATAAACATTGAATTTACATTCGCTTATCTTCACTAGCGTTATCGCGACCCCGTGTTTCAGAGACAGACAGACACGGCTAATGCATTAATGCTTCCAACATTACTTTAAAATGTAGCGTTACAAACATAGCGATCGTTCATTTGGAGGTTTTAACATACATAACACTATGTAACACGATTTTTGTCCCTGGGTAGTAAGTGTTATTTTTTAATTGCTTATGCCTAAAAAGTATAGAAAATGGCTTTTATTCCCCACAAACTTTGCTTTTGTGACCAGGATATTATGTGAAGGAATGACACAAATGCACACGTTTTCTCATTGAAAATAGGTACATTTCAAAATATCACTGTCCTGGTCACAAAAGCAGTTTGTGGGGCATAATAACCATTTTCTGTACTTTTGAGGCATAAGCAATTATGAAATAACACTTTCTACAAAGGGACAATTTTTTTTTTGTTACAGTGTAATAACCTTATCCACGGCCTTGGCAATCTTTAGAATCAATGATGAACAATTAGCACAGATACGCAGGCAATGCATTAAGCCTCGCATGCTCTGAATGATGCACATGTTCTTAATTGGTTGTGGTGATGGCAGGGCCAAGGTTCATGCAGATCAATCGCAGTGCAGCAAACTAAGCATGGGTGCTATTATTTAACATCCGTGAAGCGATCACTCTGAAAGCTGCCAGTTCACCCTTACAATTAACCTATGATCAAAATATTTATGTACATTGTTTCCATACATTTATATTTTCGTCAGATTATGAAAATGTGTAACCAGTGGGTTGACAGCATGGACGCATTACAAAAAGCGGCAATTGTTCCACCTTACCCCACGCCCGCAGCGCACTCCCCCCAACACGTGAAACGCCACATTTCCAGAGACGCAATCAAAAGCTAAAGGTGCAGCCCCCGCAATGGTTTGCTCACGCGACTACCGACAGGAACGCCTGCCACAACGCGGAGCTCGGGACAGAGGGTATTTCTGCCTACTCTTTCACGCTGGCCAAACATCTTGATACTTTGCTACTGGCAAAAAGGTCCCATTAATATAGCCGCTCACCCAAAGCTAGTAATGCTCTGATACATGCATTGTCCTTTTTATTAATGCTACCCCTATCCGCTCCCTTTGATGCTGCTAATCCTGCATAATGCACGGGCATAATATGACTTTGAAACCCCCCCGCCCACCTCCTACGCATTTCACAAGTAGTACTAATCACATACCTGCATTTCCCAGAAATATGCTAAATTACTCTTGATATGCAAATTTTTTTGTCAAGGCGCCCTTCCCCCCTTCCAACCCAGCTTAAATATACGCTCCAAGCGTGGTGGTGTTTCATTCAGACGCTGTCTCCCCGACAGACCTGGTCTTCACCTGAGGACGGCTGCTTGCGTTGTGGCCGAAACGTCGTGAGAATTATTTTATTATGTTTTATTTTTATTATTTACTATTACCCTTCTATGTGACTTTACCGAAAGAACCAAGAAGATGCATTGTCCTTGTTCACCTTTGGGCGTTCTTTGGTCCAACACTGGTGAGACGAGGCCATAAAGAAGGCTGCCTCTGGTGCAGGCCAATCAGTTTCAAGGACAATGCATATATTGTGAGAGTATGCTTGTTTGCATGTTCACCACAAGTACATGTGGTCAGTGCAAACTTGATCTCTTGAAATGTGTGTATCTATTTGGTGTTTGAACATATTGACACCAGTTTTATTGCCAGAAAGGGTAAAACCTATTATTTTTCATGTCTTGAAAGAGGTTGGAACATTCAAACTTTTCCCCACCAAATGTGGTCTTCTGATCGACTAACTGTGGTGTACCCATTTAGACTGCCGAGTGAAAAGAGATTTAAAAAAACTTGTCCATTGCTTTGACTCAATTGCATATCATGAATTCTGGGCCATACCCTAGTTCCGTACTAGCCTGCCTCTCCTATTGTGGACCACTCCACTATGCGAACATCAGCTGTGATGAAATGTGCTCCCCTCTGGATGGAATGCATTTGGACAAACAGCCAGAAAAACTTCTGCGCTATTTTCCACAAACAAGCTGACATTTCACCTCCAATACGTTACGTACATGATTTGTTTTTACATTCTGACAATCTTAAAATATAAATAATACTGCAAACTGTAAAAACCAATGCAATAGCTGCATTCCTGGACATCTGTGAAAATGAGCTTGATAACTCATCAGATTTGTCCAGGATAAATAAAGATTCTGATACTCACATCATACTGCCGATACCATTTTTCCTTAACAGAAGGCAAGTAACGATTTACACACTCTCCCCCTTCCCCCATCAAGATGAGTTTGCGATTCGAATTCAAGAATTGATCCTTGTCTTATATCTACCATCTTGGTTGTATTTTATTTCCTTTTTTAAGGCTCCGTTAGCCTAAATGTAACATTGGCACAATTTGCATATTTCGATTTAAAGTATAAATAACTGATTCTCACACAGGTGATTAGATGTATGCATTGAGCATTGAAATGTATAAAGTGAGGCATAGTTACATGCCTACATAATGTCCAAAAAAATTTATTTTAGAGATAAAATCTTGAAGCTTCATTGCCTGAAACACAGGTTTTCAGGACACATCACTAAAACCCACATTAAAACATTCCTTGAAGAAAGTGTGAAAAAGTATCCTTCTCTTTCCTGGGTTTTATTTATCTCAACTACCCTTAAGCTAAGCCAATAGTCTTAAAATCGTGGCTAAAATATGAAAACAGCGATGGAAATTGGTTCGGAACTCACCACAGGGTCTTTTACTACATCGAGCAGAGTGATGATATTGGGTCCGCCGCGTAAGTTTTCTAATATTTTTATTTCTCTCTTGATTTTCTTCTTTTTAACAGGCTGTTATGGAAAACAAAAACGCAGCAACACGTACAACAAACAGTTAAAATGAATTATTCAAGCAACCCTTTATGTACAACCAGATGATAGCCTGACGAGATGTCTCTAACGAGATACATCAGTTTTAAAACCGGCCGTTACAATTACAGCATAGGTCCATCAGTAGTTTAAGTAACGCAAAGGAAGATTGCCACGATGCATTCACATGTGTGTCAGAATCTGAATATGTCTTTATACTGGAGGAATCAGATGAGCTATAAAGCACTTTTCCACAGATGTCCAGTAGGGGCAGGATCAGAATGATACAACAAACAATGCAAAAATACAATAGGAGTGCAAAGTATAGGAAAGGTAAGCAAATCACTTTAAGAAAATGTACAAATAAAACTAAACAATTTTTTTATCTTACCAGGTAACACTCATTGAGCTTCTTTTTCAGAAGCGACCACGCCACAAAATGATACCATGACCAAAATAAAGAGCAAACATGCGCAAAGGGATTGCATAAGAAAGGGAAGTACTAAAACAAAATAAATGAAAAGTTAAGCAGATAGTTTTTATTTTAAAATTTAGATTTTTTCACGAGAAGGCAAGTCTTGCACAGACCACGGAATTCAGAGACACCTGACGCATTTTGTATGTCTGGCGGCAGGGTGTTCCAGATTTTTTTTAAACTAAACCTATTTTTATTTTACCAGGTAAGGCCCACTGAGCTATACAGCTCTTTTTCAGACGCGACCTGGCCACAAATGATAGCTAAATGAAGTGGCTTTATCACGTGGAAATGTACAGCAGCCAAATATCTAAATGCATGTTGATTCTAAATGTGTAGGGAGAAACCGGAGGACCCAGAGAAAAACCCACGCGACCATCGGGAGAACATGCAAACTCCAAATATACAGGCTTCAGGGTCGGGATAGAACCCATGACCTTCTGTATACCAGACTAGGTAGTTAACATCTCACCACTGCTCCAACCAGACATTTAAACATCATAACTTAATTATACTGAACTACGCTCAAGAAGGATCGTCGCTCCAGCGTCGTATGATGGACTCGGTGAGATACAGAAGTGGGCGGTACAAGATAAAAAAAGACTCGCTCTTTCCGACATCACTTTTGCACACCATCATGTGCAAATGAATTAGACCGAACACTCAGCCAGAAGCGATGCTGGTTGTCACATGGCCAAGATTGGAGGCAAAGTCATTGTCCTCTCATGTGAATGGACAAAAACGGGAGGTGATATTGGCCCCTGACCAGGGTCAATGTAGCCGACATTAACTTCATCAACCGTACTTTATCATTATACTGTGCGCCCCTAATGCCGTACACCTCTCGGCATCAGGTAGAGACTACCGACGAAATACAATGTCAAAAAACAACACTGTCAACAACCAAACGAGAAAAAAAACCCTGTAAATTGAGGTCCCATGATGTGGTTGAGACTAATGTCTTTTTTGTCCACTTTATTTGAGTTATTCATACGCTATCTAAAATGTATTGTATTTAATTTAGTATTAAAATTATTATGGGTGCGTTAATTATATTTTCGGGTAAGCTGTTCCGCAACTTTGGTGCAAAAATACGAACTGCTCATTCAGCAATGCATAATTTTATCTGCCATTATTTTAATACAAAAGATGCACCACTGGATAGTAATTTGTTTGAAACGTAACTTGGCAATGTTTCTGCTAAATATAGTGGCCAGAGCTTGTTTGACAACTTGAAAGTGATCGTTAAAAGACAAATTTACACCTTCCAGCTCCTGGCAGTCTACGTAGTTCGGGTAGTCGAGGAGTGAATTTATGAGTTATTTTTATTGTAAGACAAGTCTGGCTGCAGCATATTGAACACTATACAAAGCCCTATGAGAAAGTGCACAGTGTTTTGAAATGCATGAAAAGCTTGAAAACACAGATTGATAAAAAAAAATTCGACATTTGAAGTTTTCGTGACTGCAAGGATTCATACTCTTTGGTTTTTTTGGTAAAGTCACTTGATAAAGTAATTTTGCTGTTGCGGTTCCACCTGAAGACGGACGCTTGTGTTGACTCCGAAACGTCGTGATTGAATTTATTTGTTTTCTTTACTAACCTACGTGACTTAACCGAAAAAACCAAAGAGTATAAAAAATCTACACTATGGGGACCTCATTTGCCAGTAAAAATATGATAATTGGTTCTTTACCCTTCTATCTGGCAACAAAACTGACACCTTTTTGCAAGGAGTCATGTTTGCATAGACCGCAATACCTGCAGTCATAAATACAAACAAAAGACATAACATGTCTTTTGTATAAAAAATGTATCATAAAATTTCTCCAACATCTATTAACCTAAATTTTAAAGACCCCAGCAGTAACACCGTACTCACCGGCTGCCTTATGCATGAAGGTGTTTGGAAGGTAGTGCTATAATTGTTAGAGGGATAGGTTTATATGCAAGCCAGGGAACGTGTTTACCAGAATTCTAAAAGGCTAAACAAACCGTTGTAAAGTGTGCTTAACAAAAACTCGTTGTCAGTTCAGAGGATTTGCAGTGATTGGATGTTGACTGTGTCAGGCAGTTAAGAGAAGAACTGAGAATATCAGTAAGATCTTTGGATGTTTAAATAGATCTTAAACGCATGTTTCTGTTTAGAACAAGATATATCGGAACTTCTAGGTTTGGAGGGCATGAGAGATAAAATAATCTGAACATTTAAACACTCATATGGTGGACTCTGTGAGATACGTACGAATAGTGAGGTAATAACCAGTGGCTGGTATTAGGTGATTTTTGTCACACACGTTGTTTAAAAACAAGAAAAATGTGTTTACTCCCCAATGTGTTTTCACGTTGTACCACAAAAGTTCCAGTACAATCCGAAAACACATCGGAGCACAATGGAAAAAAATACGTTTTTGAATTTCAGTCTTGTTTTGAAATTTTCACTTGCTTATATTTAAATAGGACTGTTAAAATACATTTGATTTAATTGTAAGTTACCCCAACAAGCACAACTAATGCTTACATTATATAACTAGCTTTACTACCCGGCTTCGCCCGGGACTTGGATTCACCACGCCCGGCCACCTTTGTCTCCCAAGTGGCGATGTTCACACACCACACCAGTTACTCGTTTGAGGATGAGTCGACCTAGAGGAGGCCCAGGACCGGTTGAAATAATCGTCACCGGTGGTGGCCGTGAGCGGGAATCGAACTCGGGTCGCCGGGTTCATAGAGCGGCGCGCTAAGCACTACGCATGCGCGGGTGACATGACAGATGTGACGTCACAGCTCACTTGCCGTGCAAAAAATATGAATTAATGCGCCCCCCACCCCAAAAATGACCAAAGTCATTTATAATTTTAGAATTTATAATTTTTGCATGGTGTACAGTCTGGAAAGAACCCACATGGCAAATTTCAAGTTTGTTGCATGTCGGGAAGTACACTAAACATTTTGAACAGACACAAATATTCACAAATTTCCCTTTTATAGAGAAGAAAAGGTGTAATGTTAGTGACAAATTTATGCAAAATACTTAGAATTGGTAATACTAATTCAATCGAAAACGTGTTTAAATTGGAAAAAGACCTGTAAGTCCTAACTTTGAATCTACTCTGAAAAAATCCCAAGATTTTTCTTTAAAAAATTGTATTCTCTAAAGTGTAATGCATCGTCAGTGATTAATTTGTTTAATTTACAACGCAAACCTTAGGCGACACATTTTGTTTCACAGTCGCATAGAGAATGAGTTCATATTACATTGTTGTTGCTGTATTTTATCAACAAAGTTAACCAATATGCTGGAATTGGTGCAATTTTTTATATATATATATATAGGACAATTCATTTTGTTGGTGAACGGGCCTTCGCTTCATTGATGTGCCCCTAGCTATTTAGACCTCAACCAATTCCATTTAATCTATGCTGATTTTATTTAATTAATCTCTTAAACCTTTTTTATGTATGTCCTGGAGGCCTATTGACTGAAATGCCAACTTTCCCCTCTCTTGCTATACCTTCCTCATTCCCAAAGTAATTTAAAGATTCTCTGTTTGGGTTGATATCGATTTGTGTGCATGTTTGCATGGGGGAGCAAACGTTTGGTATTAAGCGCACTGCTCTGCAATGTCAGTGACCAGGATTTGATTCCTGACCATGCGCATAAGTGGCAATTGGTATCTAAACCTGTTCTAGGTCAACTGGGCCTTAAACGAATACCCGTTGAATAAACTAAACCTCAGCATTGGAGACAACAAGGCGACCGGGCGTGGTCATGCCCACACTACCCCCTTGTGTGGTGTGCCAGCCATAACGGATGCTCATGATCAGATCATGTCCCTGTGGCGTGTAATGCTAAACGGGGATCTTTTTTTTATTAGTGCATTTGTTCATGCTCATAAATAACACCAATGGAAATCGGTATTTGAAACTAGTCTGGGCTTTTCCTAGGCCAAACTTGACTAAAAAACAAGTCCCTATCATATAATTATCTTTTAAACTGAAGACCAAAATACAGATCGACACTTCTGCTGACAAAAGAGAACGGATACGCAAGTACAAAAATATGTAACAACAATAGTACTAATTGGGCCTATTGGTGAATGAGTTAATACTGGTAGGAACCCACTGGTTCCACCAGCCCACAGGGGATTATTGTGTCCGTCCGTCGTGCAGGGAGGGGCTGGGTGGGGAGGGGCTGGGTGGGGAGGGGCTGGGTGGGGCTGGGTGGGAGGGGTGGGGCTGGGTGGGGAGAGGCTGGTCACCCCGTGGTGCCCTTATAAAACTCAACGTTTAACCTACTCACGCCGGCTTGTGCCCGCCCTCACAGTTGGGCATATTTGCGGAATACACCATGCCGCCGTTGACCCTGGCCATTGACCGAGCAACCCAACGTTCCTACCAGCTCCCTCCACAGGAATGTGTAACTGTGCTACTCAAAGTCCTGAGCCAGCACCACTGAAATCCTCAGTTTACTTTCTGAGGTTTCAACAAAGATAAAACAAGGTTTATGAAATGTAGTGAGATTGAAAGTTTCCAACTCAATTATAAACCACAAAAGCCATGTAAACAAAAGGCCAAATTAATCAGTTAATTTGCTCATTTGGCATAGTTAATGCCTGAGGGATAAAGTGTTCCTTTATGGCCTGAGGATGATAATTAAGGTAAAATGTGGAGATAATGGGAAAGTGACGATGCAGTGATTGAATAGTGCATTGGCTACCTGAGTACAATTTCTGGACATGACTATTATAACATGAATAAACACATAAATATGCATACATGCATGCATGCATGGAATGCACAAGCCACACAGAACAACAACAGCCGCCACTCGCTACATAGTGGTAGTGGTCACCTCGGCGATTGTGCCAGGCTAGGTGCACTTCGAGGCTACATGAAGTGTGAAAGGCTCCCTGGCAGGTCATGGGACAGACCCTAGTGGAATGGGTTGATTGAGACCACTGGCACACATATATGCATACATATACACAAAGACAAAGATACACCATATATCCTTTAACATATGTACGTATATATATATATGTGTGTGCTGTTGGCAGGCACCTATTAAGGCTAGAACAGTACACGAGGGGGTGGGTGGCCAGCAGCATGCCTAGCCACCTTTGTCTCCAACATGACTGATGTTTACACTCCGTACCAGGTACTCATTTAAGGCTGAGTCGACCTAGGGGAGGCCCTAGGGATGGCTCAGATATACAAGACCAATGTTGGCAATAAGCGGGAATTTAAATCAGGTCAAGCGGTGTGCTAACCGCTGCATTACTGCTCCCACACTCGCCCACTATCCGCACACACACAGATTCATGCAGGGTTATGTATATATGGGTTTTATTTTTGTGTCACTGAGGGAAAAAAAAACCTTGACAGGCCGATTGACTTTCATGTAATGCTGAGATTTACACCGATTCACTTATAGACAGTGAAACATCGATCTATTGTTCGTTAGCAGACCGGACATTTCCAACACTATATCAAGGGGGAATTTGGAGCAGGGAATGCTCTTTTTACTTTGTTTGTGGTACCCTTTTCCTCATATTCCCACTGGATCTCTGATCCTGTATATCTCTATTTAATGCATATCTCTCACTCTAGATCTCACGTGCTGTGCGTGTCTCTTCTTCTCTTGTTACAGGCATTTCCAGCCTATCACTACTCTACACGTGTTAAGAGAAGAGGAAGAAAATGTATGCAAAACGTACGCTATAAACAGAATGTTTGCCTACCGATACGGGAAAACATTCGTTTGGGGGACACTTGTAAAGGGAAAAAATAGACATTGTGTCAACGGAGATATGTGGGACCTAAAACATGAGATGGCACATGCAGGAAAACACAAGAAACAGGAATTAAATAACGAGGTTACACTTCGGTAAGGATGGCTGGGGTCGGGTTGTGTTAATGCCATTGATGCAGTATCATTGGCAGAGGATCATGGGCAATGCCAGAATGGGTGGGGTTAGTAGTCTCTCTTCAATGCAATGCATCTTCAGAGTATGATGTAATTTAAAGACATTTGGTAGGTTAACAGTAAGCTGATTGTCTCGCTGAATTATGACAGATCTCCAGTCGGGGACAATTCTGAAGGCATTTATGAAGTGAACAATTGGCTGAATGTGACAATCTTGACAGAATGTATTATTATGATGACAAAGTGGTCATGGGGCACTTTGTATGAAGTATAAGTACCATGGTATCTTGCAGAACATTACCAGAATAAATGTAGCAAGGTGAAAGCAGCGTATGTTAGCATTACCAACTTAAATGCTGCCCCAGGTCTGTGTACCTTGAGTATTTTGACGACGACCTTCTCGTTGTTGGTGATGTTGATGGCTTCAAACACCTCGCTGTATTTGCCCCGGCCCAGCTTGCGCACCAACTGATAGTCATCCTGGTTCCTAGACAAAAGAGCAAGGCAGCCCCGCTTTTATTAAAGCTGAATTTAACATGATGCACATTTCACTTAAGCGCACATTTTAGCCATATGCTATTCTAGTACAAATGTCGTATTATAAAATTATAATTTACAGTCTTTTTTCAATCCGCTGTTGACGGAAAATCTCCATGTCATGTTCATCATGGGGATGGTTTTTCCATACTACACCACACTGGTTAGTGTGGGTTGTAGCTAAAATAGAATTCTCCACATGTCACTCATAGCAACGGTGTTAGCCATTTCTGGGATTCACTCAAGATTGCCGGGTTCATACCATATCATTTTAAACACTATTCCACTGCATTATGATGCTGTTTAATAATAAAGCTTTGAAGAAATCCAACTATTGAATATTAAGCAATTTGCTTATATGAGCAAATGGGTGGGTTGACCCCTTCTTAATTAGCATTCTGAACAATGGCAGAAGTTTTATTTCCCCATGGCAAGTGACAGTCTGCCATAAAAACATCTCTACTGTCTCCCAGGTATTAATATAAGTGGAATTGATTACATCATGTTGACCCAGTTATTTAATGTAAAAACAAACTACAATTCCTGGACTTCAGTCTTACAAACCCAAGCAAACAAACGTTTCTTCTAATAAACGAGCTAGGGGTGTATTGGATTAGAAAAGTCTAGGTATGAGACCTCACTGAGAAACTCCAGGACCTGAGGAGATAGGATGGGCTGGATAATGTGCCAAGGCGAGAAAAACACAAGTTGTCCATGTGGCCACAACACTTCACAGTCTCATCAGCTCAAATCTCTGATGCTAAGTAGGATCAGGCATATGATAACATGTATGGATGAGGTAACTGCACGTCATGACATTGGCAGCTTCGAGAACACATTCCTGCGGAGGGAGCTGGTAGGAATGTTGGGTTGCTCGGTCAATGGCCAGGGTCAACAGCGGCGTGGTGTATTCCGCAAATATGGCCGACTGTGAGGGTGGGCACAAGCCGGCGTGAGTAGGTTAAACGTTGAGTTATATAAGGGCACCACGGGGTGACCAGCCCCTCCCCACCCAGCCCCACTCCTCCCACCCCCTACCCAGCCCCACCCTCCCCACCCAGCCCCTCCCCACCCAGCCCCTCCCCACCCAGCCCCACCCATTTTTGGATGCACGACAGACGGACATAATAATCCCCCGTGGGCTGGTGTAACCAGGAGGTTCCTACCAGTAAAACACTCTTGTCTGGCCCTAACATGAGCCATTCTCAATTTGGGCAACAATAAAATGGATTTTCTCTCATCCCCACTAGCAACAAGTCAGCAGCAAGTGGTGATCACATGTTTTATGTGTTCAGAATATGGACAGTTGTTGAGGGAGGAACCAGTGGGGATTTGGAAGGCTGCCCCCCTCCTCCCCATCAAATCAATAATAAATAATTGATCAAATAATTCATACTGCTATAATGAAGGAGTACCACTATCTGGCAGGTGATTCACGGATAATCTGTTTCCCGTCAGCATCGTCAACAGACATGGGCACTGCCCAGGGCTCACTAATACAGGGGGTTACTTTTCTGTCTGATACCATTAAGATACCTCTCATTTCTGGCTTCATGGGGAAGCATTGTGCTCACAGGGACAGTAAATAAATACTGTGTACCTAGCATGAACACTTTCATATTTAAGTATTATCCACTTCATGTAGGGCTCATGTGGGTTTTAAATATAAGAATAACAGTACATTTCTAAGCACAAGTACACAAAAAACAAGAGTTTCGCCTAAGAAGAGGGAACTGTACAAAAAACGCTTTTGAATATAATTTAGTGTTTTGCTCCATATACGAGAACTTGGAATTATAAATTAGACTAGACAGGTAGGCTCAGGGGGCTAATGCACGGGTCAGGATACTGAGCAAGCACTTACAAGCCTCTGGATCTAAGCTCTAGGACTGACAAGCAAAAAAAACAGGAATTGTTTTGTTCAGTTCAGAAATGCAGTGGGTTACAAGATTTCAGCAAAGTGGCTGAATAGCATCTATTATGTAACCCATATCGCCACTGTATAATGCAATACTCCATGTGGTAAGGCTTTTCAAATAAAACACAAACTAAATATGTAATAACAATTAATTAACATTCTGTTATTTCTATAACATTATTGTATTTTTATTTTTCCCCCTTTTTTATATTTACAAAATGTATTCCAGGTGGCTTATCAGAATCCAGCCAAATCACTTTCTGAATACTGCATGGCAGCAGAGGCAGGCAGAAATTTGCCGGAAGCTAAAAATTAAGGCGTTCACCCACTATTCTTAAAAGGTTTATATTGCACACTCGCAAGACTACTCTCTCCTCAGCTAAGCAGATAACCTGAGCGGTTTCCTCTATGCTAATCTACTTAACAAACTCTCAAGAGTTGGACTTTACCAAAGCTGTTATTGTTCTGTTATTTTTTTTTAACCATGATGAGCCGAGCCAGCTCAATCCATATGAAAACTTAGGTTACATCTCAGGAGGCAGAACAGTGATTTAGTCCTTAATTTCAGTGGAGCTATGTCAGCCATTTTTAGAGGGCACAGGATTAGCTGCATGATCCACTCAACACATCGTAATTTTTACATCACTTAAAACCACAAAAACAAATATCTTTCACAAATGTCTTCTCCATCCTCCCTCCCTCCCCCTATGACCCTTTCAAAAACATCTTCTGTGATCCTTGAATTAGGTTTGTCCCCCTTTATGTTTCCAGTCGCCATATCTTCCACAATGCCTGTTCATATGCTCCTTTTCTCCTGCATGGCTTCCCCCTGTGCTCACCACTCAGCATGAATGATGAGGTCGGTGGTCATTGCTGTACAGCACAACTCGATAAAACCCCTGAGGTGCCACTGTGGTGCAAATACAAACTGAAAGCAACCCAGAGTTGGCTAAAAAAAACGCACACACATGCCAAGTGTACACACAGGCATAGCACACACACACACACACACTTTTAGCCTATACCATTGTGGTAAATGGTGAGAGCAAGCACCGAGCATGAACAGAACGGTAAAGATGAAGGCAGTGGGGCTGATACCATTACTTTGTCTTACCAGTTCTGATGTCAATAACACATTGTGCGAATGACCAAGAGGAAGCTGAGGATATTTTAATGTACATACACCAATTGTCAAAGGGCTTCAGAGCCAAGAAGCAATCCCTGGATGCTGAGATTGCAAGGTAGTGCGTGAAACCACTATGCAATTTCTTCATACAAGCATATGCACTCATAAATACGGTATTTTTTTTTACTATTGACCACATACCTACAATCATTCAGATTCTAAAAAAAGCAATATCACATACATTATGCCTGGCTTTTGCATACTCTGAAAAATAATTGGTTTCAAAGAAAACTAATGCAGTCATCTAAGCTTTCATCTAAGCCTTGATACGGAAAAAAAATATTGAAATTAATGAAACTGTTTATATACATGAAACAGCTATACTGAGATGAAAAAATACAATATAATACATCAACAGAGGAGTCCAGGCAAGGAAATATGTTCTCAGTAAGGCTATTCTGACAAATTATATGCAAAAAAACTCGACTGGAGATAAAAATGCATAAAACAAATAGGAGCAAAAAGTATTACCATCTCAGATTTATTGATAACAGTCATTACAACAACCGACAGAAATGAACTACAGGAAATGAATGAAAAAATAGTGAAGGAAGAATAGGATCAAAATGACAAACGAGAGAGATCAGCAAAAGCAAGGTGGAGTGCAATGATAAAACTATGGAAAGCAACATTCCAATACGAAGAACGTTTAATTGGGTCCATATTGCTTGCTATGCCATATGGATCAGAAATATGAGCACTAATAAAGACAACGAAACAAATGCCACCGAGATAAATCGTATTGATTTTTAAGAAACGTATGAAGACTTATTCTTGGGTCTTTCGGTCAAGTCACCTAGAAGGGAAATAATAAAATAATAAAAAATTTACATAATAAGATAAAATTCTCACGACGTTTCGGCCACAACGCAAGCAGCCGTTCTCAGGTGAAGAACAGGGCTGTCATTAGGACGCTGTCTTTCCGACAGCCCTGTTCTTCACCTGAGGACGGCTGCTTGCGTTGTGGCCGAAAGGTCGTAAGAATTTTATCTTATTATGTTAAATTTTTATTATTTTATTATTTCCCTTCTATGTGACTTTACCGAAAGAACCAAGAATATGAATCCATGCAGTCACGAAAGCTTTAAATCGAAAAGTAAGAAGACTTGGCAGGACACGTCACTTTAAAGAGCAATGGCCGACGGACGAGACTGGCAAAGGAATGGTAGGCAAAGGAGGGAACACGCCCAAGAGGAAGACGACCATGAAGATGGAGCGGATGAGATCAGCTCATGTGCGGAAGCGAGACGATTTATGGCACCGCAAGACTGAAGGAAGGGGACCGTGTTGGATAAAGGTCTTCATCCAGCAGTATAACGATTATGGCTATTGATGAAGATTTATTTTACGGGCTGAAGCACTTGTGCATTGGTGAGTAGAATGCACTTTTAACCCGGCTGCCACCTGAGGTTGTGTTTGGCCACGGCCAACATCAGTGGCGAGTGATATAAGAACCGCTCCTGAATGCATCCCTTCCACAACCCTCGTTGACTGGCTGTTTAGGGTGAAATGGTGATCATGGTGAAGCAACACTATACCCCCCCCCCCCACCACTTTCTCATAATAAATGTTGAATATGTTTACGAGTGTGGTGCCAGAGATATTTTCTCTTAAAAGAAAACTATATTAATAAGCCTTTGTAAAGGTAAACAACACTCAACTCTTTCCTTTTATTTACTTACCTAACAGCACAGGATTATTATTTATTCATAGGCCATGCAGATGCCTTTCCTGACCAAGATCCACTGCCAGGCTGTCTGGGCATAGCAGCCCAGGCAAGATGGGAGGGCAGAGCGGGGTTTGGGCCCCTCAGGCTTTACTTAATGACTGAAAACATGGGCCATAA